ACCCTAACCCAAAGCACCTCAGAGTGCTTCTCCCCTGACCTTGATCTGCCCTGCCCCCCCACCATGGCCCTTTTCCTGCACCTCGCCCATTCCCCCACAGACTACCTGCTCCCTGCTGGGGGGGGGTGCACCCCCAAATATTTTTTTCTCCCTGTACCTCAATCTGCCCTCCCCCCCACCTTTTCCCTGCCTACAAACTTACCTGCTGTGTGGTGGGAGGGGGGTGGGGGTGGATATTGGTTTGCTTTTAAATTCCCAAAGTGATCTCCTACTGAAAAAGGTTGGAGACCTCTGCTCTATAGGTTACTGAGTGACATGTTGGGGAGCAGGGCTCCATACAGCGGTGAAGTAACAGAATTGACTTAGTTTCCCCATCTGTAAAATGGAGATAGTGGCTGTGACCTCCCCAGGAAAGCATTTTGGCAATAGTGCTACATAAGTGCTATAAAGTAGTATTAGTAGCAGCAGTAGTATGTTCATCAAGAATGGTCTGTGAAGTTAAAACTACTGGAAGCCAAGGGTAGTTCGAGGACTGGGCAGTGCTGATGGGCAACTGTTGGAAAATAGAGACCCTAAGTACAAAGAAAGGTGATAAACAGTCTACAAAAGGGAAACCAGCTTTGGTGCTTCCTGCCCCATAATATGAGAGCAACAAAATGACCAGTGTAACTGAAAGGAGGCAAATGCCCTTTTACATGATCCACAATCCATCTGTGCAACTCCTTGCTACAGGAAGCCACTAAGGCTAACACATCAGCATAAATTATAAAAAGGAATGGGATGTTTATAGGAGTGACAGGAATATCCAGGGTAATCACAGGTATTTCTAAAAATAATTTGGAAAGGAAATTAAAATGCATGCTTGGAACTTAAGCTGGTTCCTGATTACGAAAGATCAGGATGAGACTTAGTGGAAGGGGCAGTTTAATCTGTTACCATGGGTTTTCATGACCTTTCCTTTGAAATAACTATCAGAGATAGGATATCACTCTGGTCAGTCCTTGGATGTGAATGACTGGGCTATGCAGTGAGAAAAGCTATTTCTTTGTCAACCAGCATATGGCTTGAAACATCTCCCTTACCCACCATCACTTGGCTCAGTCCAGGGGCATGGTGGGTGACCCCTCTTATACATTCACATACCGTGGTGGGTGCTCACTTCATAGGCGATACCAGCTTGTCAGTGCCAGGAGTGGGCTTTTCTTTTTCCATCAGTGATTTGTGACCATTCCACCCTGCTACCTCCTGCCTTTGTGCAACTGATTCCAAACTCATTTGCAATGTCAATGCCACTGGTGTGGCTGCTCCCCACCTTTCCCCTCGTCAGTCCCCTCTGCCTTACTTGTAGTGTTGTACCGCACTCCGTAGAAGTATTCGGGGCAGGGGCGAGCCACCAGCTGCCCCACAGCACTCCGGGGCCAGCATGTACCAATCAAGTCTATTGAGGCATTGCATTGGAGTCCTGAGGGGGAGAGAAGGAAAAAAGGAGGCAACATTAATGGAGACCCCGGGGTCAATCTCATGGCACTTTGCTGGAGTGAGCTGAACAATAACTTGTTTAAATTAGGGTGTTCTATAAGAAATTCCCCCTATAAAGGTAACAGATAATAAGGAAAATTGAAGTATACTGTGTTAGTGTAGGCATCATTCAGGCCAGATTGCAGTGTTTTATACAGATAACACGCGCATGTGCATAGAATACAACATGTACAACAGCAAAATATCTTATTTACATCTCAGGAATAGATATGAAGCAGCATTCCTGTTTAATGGCAACATAATTTGATCATTAACATTCTACAGTTAGAAAATGTGTGTTCAATAGAACTTGAAAGATATTTAGTTTATTGCAAAGCATTTATACTTACTGAAGACATTAGTGCTGAAACAAGTGCTTTCTTTCTTTTCCCCTGCCTTTCAGTTATTGAAAACTGCAAGTACCATGGAATCATCAGTAAGATTTTGAGCTCAGTTATTTCAGTTCTACGTGGGACATCAATGGAGTGGGGCCTGATTTTTTTTGCTGATGTAAGAGCAGCAGAAATACTTGGTGTTTCTTGTTCCCCCCTTTCTTCTATTTCAATCTCTCTGTATTCCACATGCAATAAGGACCTTATCCTTTTTCAAGATTTGGTTCATCTTGTTCAACTGTGTGTCCTCTGTCTCTACATATTTCCAATAACTTATTAGTAGAGACCTACCAAAATAATGGCAGAAGTGCACGGCACAGTGGCTCCTTTAATCTTGCAGTTTCCCCTGGCTGCCCTCACCCCCAATTGAAGGAGGGGCCCCACCACTCACCACTCACTCCTGATCAGTGGGAAGGCAAAAACCCTAGTTTTAAATATGGTGTGGATTTTGGTTTCTGCTACTGACTGGCTGGGAGGCAAAAACTGCACCACATTTAAAACTGTGGTTTTTGCCTCTCTGCTGCTCAGAAGCAAACGGTGAGGCCCCTCTGCCAATCAGGCATGGGTGTGGGGAGGGGGCGAGCCTGGGAACCTGCAAGATTAAGGAAGCCACCACACAGTGCACTTGGGCCGCAATTTCAGTAGGTCCCTACTTATTGGAAATCCATAGATTTATTATCCTCTTCCTGTTTAAAGTGACCATTTTCATTTTTATAATGGAATTAAACAAGAGTGTTTGTTCTACCTGAGGCTGTATCTGTTTCTTTCCTGTGCCCAAAATAGTGTTTACCATCGTTCTCAGTTAAACATTTGGTCCAGTAAGACATTACCAAGCAAAACTTGCTTTCCAGTGTTTTGTGGTAGTCACGATTCATTGTGGAAAGCGAAGGGTGTTATTGGAATGCTTACTGGTTGTCTCTGTTTCTGGACTGCATAGTCTATCTTGACATGTCCTGGTAGTCTGTAACGCAGTTTCTGAACAATGCTCTACCAAAAGCTATAGACAACACTCCACTGAAAGTGCTAGTTTCTGTCCTTGATGCTTCCTCCTTTCTGCTGGGGAGAGAAAGGAGAAAAATATCTCCTGCCACAAAGGGTTTAGTTTAAGCAAAAAAAAGGAGAGAAAAGTTTATAGTTATGGCTTAGCCTCATTTGCCTATCAGGGCTATCTGCTCAGTGGCTGTCCTTAGCTTCCAGATTTTACCAGGCTGTTTAGCATGGAAATTAGATGCATCAGATGCTAAATGCATTAATGCATTCTTTTCAAATCCACCCATAGTTTAGAATTCTCTCCCAGCCTGTTTTCTGAAAACACCTCTTCCAGCACTAGCAGAACTAGCTGTAACATGGACATACTAAGGTTCTGCACAGAGTTACACCAAAAAGGTTCTGAGGGGTTTCTTCTGTGTGGCTTTGCACTAGTTTAGCAAGTGATTCACACCCTATCTGGACTCATTGCATTTGGTTTCTTTAACAAGGTGCAGGCTCTGCAATTTGTAACACAAGCTGAAGTGGGGATGATTTGGAGAAAGACACCAGGAAGCTCCACGTATGTCCTCATTTGGGAATTCATGCCTGACCAGTAGATAGGGTTTCATAGTTTCTAAGTTTGGAAGGGACCTGAACAGATCATCATTCCTGGGCAGGAATGAGTGCTGGGATCATAATACCCCAGCCAGATATCTATCCAACCTCCTCTTGAAGATCTCCAAGGTAGGGGAGAGTACCACCTCCCTTGGGAGCCCATTCCAGAGCCTGGTAGCCCTAACTGTAAAGTAATGCCTCCTGATATCAAGCCTGAACCTGCTCTTTGGGTGAATCTGATATCTTTTATTAGACTAACTTAAGTAGTTGGAACAAAAAAAAATTAGAAATCTTTCAGGTTTAAAAACTCTTCATCAGGCTGTGAAAGTCTGTGCAGTAGGTATGTGACCAGTAGACATACTCCTGAGCATGCCATAGGTATGCCTCTATTACCAGGTGCAAAGCATGTATTCATAGTTTCATAGTTTGTAGGGTTGGAAGGGATCTGAGCAGATCATTGAGCCCGACCCCCTGCCATGGCAGGAAAGAGTACTGGGGTCAAACAACCCCGGCAAGGTATTCATCCAGCCTCCTGTTAAAGACCCCCAGGGTAGGAGCCAGCACCACTTCTCTTGGAAGTTGGTTCCAGATCCTAGCCGCCCTGACGGTGAAGTAGCACCTCCTGATATCTAGCCTTCTTTTAATGAAATCCTGCCTCAAATTGGCAGGGATTACAGTTCTGTTACCTTCACGCCAGATTACATCTTAAGTATAGCGCATCCCTAACCTGCCAGTAGGGAACGATTTTCTGGGGCACCTGCTCCTAGCGATCTGGTTACCCCTGGAGTACAATTCACGTCACAGTCTCTAGCTGTTCATCCAATTCTGTGCTCTCCCAAAGACTCCCTTTGGAGATACAGACACACATACTGTAGTGCACTTACAGATTCAATCTAGTGTTTCACAAATCCACATGTGATGTACTCTGGAAGGTTGGCCCTGCTCAGAGTATCTGCCACTAGCCATGCCTCTTCTGGACAGTAACTGATGCTCACATCATAGCACTGCAGTCTCAGGAGCATGCGTTGGAGTTGCTCTGTGCACTGAGGAATGGCTTCTTCATAATGCTTTCCAACAGCTTGTGATTAGACTGCACAACCACCTTCTGTCCAAAGGTGAACGGGTGGAATCCCTCCATTCCAAAGAGGACCGCCAGGAATTCCTTTTATATTTAAGCATACCCTCTTTCTGTATTGGTCAGGGCCTCAATGGCAAATGCTGTGGGTTGCTGGTTCTGTATTAATGCTGCTACAAGGCCTCCTTCTGAGGCACCACGTTATAGCTGTAGTTGCTGTGCTAGATTGTAATACTTCAGGACTGCTGCCTCACTTATGAGTTTCTTTATCTTTTCAAATACCTGCTCCTGGGCTTCTGCCCAGCGCCATGCTGCCTTCAGGGCTAGGGACAGACATTACACACAGACCAGCTTAAGTGATCAAAAACTGGTTTAAACTTGTAATAGAAGAGATGCTTAGTGCATATAAACCAGTTTGAAAATGGCTGAAACCGGTTTGAGATAAACCTGGTTGAATGTAGCATCAGACTTAACTGATTTGGGTCAAACTGATTTATGAAATGTCTGTCTCAGACCCCTTGCTGGTTTAAGATAAACCAGACACCCCCAGCATCCTGGCATGCTGTGTGGGCTGGGCTGTCTGCTCCACAGAAGAGCTGGCCTCTCCCCTCTGCTCCCTGGTTGGAACTCCAGCAGAGACTTCAGGCATCTGCCTGGCTTCCCCCTGGTCCCTCACCACTCCCTGCTAAGCAGGGATTCCCCCCTCTCCTCTGCCTTACACAGACACCTCTCAGCATTAGCTAGTATACCACATGCTGGCTATAGTCCGTGCTGTGACAGATGGGGAAAAGGCAGAGGGACTGTGTCCTTTGTGAAGCTAATCAAGAGGTAGCTGGCAAAGTCCCTCCCTGGAATGTTCCCTTCCTTGGAAAAAGTTGTTTAAGAAGAGCTTGAAATAATGAGAGGGGTTTTGTTTTCTGATGGGGTGTTAAATGCTGATAACAAAGTGGGGGACCCTAATCAGAGTGCCCTGTGGGGGCCTGGCCACGCCCCCCTCAGCTCAGCATTGTGGAAGGGAAGGGAGGGCTGCTCTTGTGCCCCCTGGCTTCTAGCTTGAGCCACTGCAGGCATGTGCCTTCATTTTTTTTCAGTCCAGAGGAGATGTCTGTGTGGTTACAAACTGGTTTAGCCTAGCCAGATTAGACTAACCTGCAAAGATTGAATCGATTCAGGCTCAGGCTTTTTGAATGTATGCTCCTAGCCCATGTGTGTTAGTTATCTCAAAGGATGCAAGCCTCTGACAAGTGTGCACAGAATCTGGATAGCTAGCCAGGCCCATAAATCTGCACTCCCTTCAGATCCAGTGGTCTGGGCATCTCCTTAATGGCTCTCAGTTTCACAGGGTAGATCAGACTGCTGCTGAAGTTGGATGTATCCAGTGTAGAGGACCTCAATCCTCCTCAGCTTTACCTTGTCTGTGTTTAACTTAACATTCTGCCTCTACATGTTTAGGAGCTATCTCCACTTAGCAACATGGTCATGGAGAGCCTTTTCCTTGCTATCTCCATGCTCCACAATCAGGATGCTATCTGCTACAATCCTGATTCCTGGTAGTCCCTACAGTGCCTGATTCAGTCTATGCTGGAACACCTCTGGGGTGGGACAAATGTCCACAGGCATTCATACCCAGTGGTGTCTGCCACAGGGGGCTGCAAAAATTGTCAGACGGCTTGAGGATTCACTTAGCTCAATATGCCAAAACCTACTTTTTACATCACAAATCATGAATACTTTGTCCTTGACAGTTCATACATAGGCAGTATGTCCTTGAAAGAGTGCAACAGATAATGGCGTCTGTTCAACACCCTGTTCAGAGGTTCTGGATCTATACAGATCCTCAGTTGGCAAGATAGTTTTCTTAT